TCCACCGCGGGTTTTGATGCTTGCTTGCAAAGTGGGCAGCCGCGTGCCACAGGCCGCACTGTGTGCATCTATATGGTGTTCCTGCCTCGCGCTTCTGCGCGGTGCATTCTTTGCAGACGCGGTATGTTTCCTGTTTCCATTGTGCTTTGGTGAACGCGTCTTTGCGTTTCATCTCCCCACACTCTTGACAAGCCCTTTCATCCAAGTACTTCTTGCGCAACGCATCCCAGTCCACCGGCTCCTGCTTCCACACGTCCAGGAGAAGTTGTCGTCCGAGCGGCAGGCCAGCTTGAAAAGGTGCCAGCGGGAACGGTCGGTAGATCAAGATCTTTTGCCGTGTGCGGCTCCGCGTCATCCCAATGTACGCCGCTATTGGGTCAGCACCGACCATGTCAACGATCACGCCCGGCTCTATTGTGCTTCCCTGCGCACCGTAGAACGTGTCAGCGAAATCGGGCGCGATGGGAAATTGGTACCGGGTGACTTTCAATTGTGGGTTGGTACGGCCTGCGTCCAGAAACCACTGTGCACTTTGTATGCTGACCGGGAAGACATTCTCTTGATCGATGCCTGGAATTGTCCAACGTGTTCGCGTCTCAAAACGCACGAAGATATAATCGGGGAGTTTGTTCCATATGACTGCTCCATCTGCCGCTGCTGTTTCTGTCTCAATGCTTGACCACCCGCAAATGGTTCCATGACATCCTTTCAAGATCTTGAAATCCTTCCGGTGGAGGTGTTCCCGCGCTTGTACAGGCATATTAATGCACAGCGGAAGAATACCGTACCGATTCCCGCAATCAGCATCGCTGCGTTGCAGCCATGTCAGCTTGTCCTGGGCGATGTCCGGCTTCTCGCGCAAAGCTCGCGATGATACCTTGTCCGTAGCCACTGCATAATAGATGACTTGCCCATGCTGCCGTGCCCATTGTTCTGCACGAAGTTTATTCACGTGGCACTTCACTCCGTTGGTGTGGAAAATCCCCCGCGCCATGCTGAAACCTTCTACAAAGCGAGGATCGTTTGCGTCTACAGCAACTAGACGCTTGGTATTCCGTTCAGCGCGACAGATTGGACATTCGTACTTGAGAATCGTTATCGCTGTGGAAGCGTTTTTGTGCAACTGATAACATGTGTTTTCTTGACACATAGGCCGCTGCGTCCTAGCACACCAACTTCCTGGAACCTTTGTTGGTCGACCATGCAAGAATGCATGGTTGTCTTCGGACAAATGCCCCACGCGAAGTTCTGCTTGCAGGTCTTGGAGCCACACGTCTTGCGTTCGCTCGCAGCGAACCAGTTCGGTCACTCCTTGTAAGCCACCCTGCGCGCTGGGAGCCCATACGAGCTGTTGGCCTTGCAAACTCAATGGCAACTTCTTAGATGAAACGCCTGTTACAAGATGCCAGGGGATTTGTCCGAGAAAAGTTCCACGCGGCGGAGGTAGCTGCCACAGGTCTCCGGACAGAATAACATTGAGCCCACCAAAGGGCGCAACGCAGTTAGGATTCTGCTTACCGTATTTAGTCGCGGAGACATCTAAAACAAGCTGGCGACATCGGGCCTCGAGGCGTGCTAACATCTCAGCACTTACCATGCTGATTTCGTCGATCAACAGCCAGCGCCATTGCACGGCTTGTTGCGCAAGATTTAAAATCCGTTGCGCGTCAACGTTGTGATCATTGCCGTGCCAAGCTAACCCCAATGCCTGATGCATGGTTTCGCCGTCCAAAGGCTCGGCATTGACAGCTTGAAACGCGACAACTTGAAATTCCTTTCCTGACGTCCATCCAAGGCACTCCTCGAACAAATCGCGCCGCGCTATGTTCAACACGTATGACTTACCTGTGCCTGGGCCACCATGAAGCGCCCAGCGCAACGCTTCGGTATTGGTGTCTGCCGCGCCGCCGCGCTCTTGTCCGGACACAGCTTCATGCTTCACCCGGGCGCAGATGGTTTCGATGAATGCTAGCTGTTCCGGATTGCATTTGCTCGTTCCGCGCAAGTCGCGTAGGAAAGCATCGACTTTCTCACATGTTGCTCGTGTCTCGGCTTCGCATGTGCCCGGCGTGGGAATCTTTCGAACTACAGCTCTGTCGGCTTTTTTGGTGTTTAAAGCTTTGATTGCTCGACGAACTGCGGCTGAATCGTGTGCATGGAACGCATTGTTGCTCTGCGTCTTTGTATTCGTCACATTCTGATTGGTTGTTTTTGCCCATGTTGCTTCCGCTTGCGCCGCTGCTTCCTCGTAGCTTGCCAAAACTTTATCGTGAACTTCTGGACCTCGTTCTGCTTTATGTACAGTGGCCCTTTTGCCAGTTTGCCGGAATGATGTTTTTAGAGCTGTCGGCAGGCTAGCGGGAGTAACTAGAAGCGGTTCATCAATGCCACTGTCGTCACTGTTCGCTTCCTCTGCACCGCTGGGACGGACACGGTAGACTGATAGGAAGTTGCCGGTGCACCGTTTTGTTTCTTCGCAAGGCAAATGCGTCAACCACATGCGCAGAGCTTGTACCCAAGTTTCTGTTGGCGCTTTCAAGCGGCCCACAAACGGGACATTGGCGCTAGCATTGTTAGCATCGAGGGTCCACGCGCGGAAATAGGTCATGGTCAATCTGGCGTTTACTTCTTCTTGACCCGCTTTCTGCAGGGGTACGGGCGAATTTTCAAAGTGCGGGCAACAGGGGCGACGCCGACGTAGCAGATAACAACGGTGTCGAAGGTGTGCTGTTGCCGTTCCATCTTCTAAACATATTCGACCCGGCGTAGTTTGCACAGCCAGACAATAATGAGTCCCTGGTTGCAGGTGCAACTTCTTGTCGGGATCTGTTTGCTTTTGTATAAATTTGAGACCTGCTGCCGTCAACGAAACGTCCCAGCTACTACGCTCTTCCACTTCCCATTCGCGTTGCGTCGTCGGTACACGAGCCATGGTGACTGCCCAATTGGCAACGAACTCATACGGTGACAGCCACCACACCTCTGCTGTCTTGGGCCGGTGCCCATAGACTTCTACAATGTCAAATGTTCCTAGGTGTCGGACACCAGACGATTGCCTTTGAGTCCATTTTACGGCGCTGCGTCGCATGGACGACGCCGCATCATCTCCGTTGTGATATTTTGCAACAAAGTCCGCAAAAGCAGCCCCAGGGAAGCTTTCGAAGGTTGCTGTTGCAATGCGTTCGGCTGAGACGACCGTGTCGTCGCGATGATAGGCGCGCAGATTACAACATTCGACCTGTCCTCGCACCACGCCTTTGAGATACGCATCGCTGAGGAATCGGTTTGCATGTCGCTTGCCGAGGTCATCTAGTGGTTTCCGCGCATGCTGCGCATGCAACTGTTCGTGTCCTTTTTGGAATTCTCTGATTTCTCCATGTCCCATCGGCTGGCCCTTGGAGCAGTAATCCGCGCAATAGCCGGTTTGTGCGTCTTGCGCCCGCTGCGCCGCCAATGACATCTGCTGCCGTTCTTCCGCTGTCAATTGATCACCGCAAGTTGGACATGAATATGGAAGCCGGTATGGCACCTGCACATCGCAATTTGCACCACGTAGTCCTGCCAACATGGCTGGTGCGCAGCCATTTAACCACTCGTGCCCACAGGGTCCATGCAAAGCTCCTAAGCGATTTTTTCGTCCACCGCTTGGCATCCCGTACGTTTTCAACTTGCAAGGACATAATACAGTAGGTTGCGCACACAGCCATTGCGTGCGGGGAAAATCACTCTTACACAGCCCTGGCCGGTCACTCTTTTGGCAGCCTGCCAATGGGACGCGACCTTGGGTAGTTTCATTGTAAGGATGGTAGTGATGCTGTTTCAGAAGCTGCAGTTGGACGACGTCTTCTGCCATGTAGTGCCTTCGCCAGTCTGCAGCTTCGTTTTGGACGTTATCGGTTTCAGTAGCACGTCGGAGTTGATATTTCGGAACCGTTGTCATCGTTACATCTAGCTCGTGCGTTGGCCAGGATGCTTCCGCAGCGGCGATACGGCGTTCCATGTCTTCATTCGATTGGCCCACATAACTTGCATGACACACATGCGCATTGTATGCTTCGTATTCTGTGCGCAACGCAGCCAACTTGGTGTGCGAAAGCCGGAAGATTTCCTCCAGTGAAGTATGTTGATGCAAACACTGCACAAACACTTGCATGTGGCCATGTTCCGCCCCGCTGCTCTTCTGAGCTTCGAGAGATATATATACTGCGTCCACGCGACCGAATATGCCACCGTTTGCTTCTGCGTTGCTGCCGCCAAGGTCTTGACACGGTTCCAATCCACTGAAGCGATTGCAATCTGGACAGTATGGACACACACGAACGCCGAAGAGATGCTTCAACATCAAATGCGTCAGCACCCGAAACCCATCCACAGCAGCCAACGGATCCCGCGCTAGAACTTCGCGGCGTTCTGCCCAAGACATCGGTAGAGTGAACTCATGCTCGAAAGGTCCCATGGCAATACCATCCTGCAATCCCAAATGCGGGAAAAACATATCCCCGGCCGGGAAATCTTGCCCTATGGATGCGGCGCGAACAGGGTCACAGGAGCGAACGCGCGTCATCCGCACAAACAGCTGCTGATGCGCTTCATCGGGCGTAAATGTCACAAACAACGGCACTCCGTACCGGATACGCATGGCTTGAGTCTCGAACCGCATCCTTTTCCTAGCTTCTTGAGTCCCAGGCAAGCCTTGGGCTGTATGCCGCATATTGTTCAAAAGTTTTCGGGCCATAGGCTTTAGCCCTTGCACATAGCGAAGCTTCGCAACCTCACCCTTGACGGGCCGTGGTTGTCCATTGACATCTATGTAGGAACCTTTCAAAGCAAGAAGCAATTGCTGGGCAGCTGCTTCGACATGGCGCCCTGTCAAATTGCCCTAACATCTCTCATACTTCAGAAAAGGTAATTCCTTTCCGGGGTCGGCGGCAGGGGCGGCAGCCCTTAAATAATGATTTAAAATTATAAATTGATTTGATATTGATTTGCTATGATTTGGTGTGAAACGATTGGACATTTTGAAGAGTTCGTCCATCTCTTTTGGGGCCCTCGAATCGCTCGAAAGACTTATGGACAACTATTTGTGGCTCACTCGTGGAGCAGAAGCCGCAGTCATCCAGAACTTTGCTGCAACATTGCTGAAAGTTGCTGCAGCCCAAGTTCTCATGCACGGACAAGCACCATTCACCCGCTGTGAACGATGCACAAAAGTCCGTAAATTCGTAAATCCTCGAATTGGAGGGAACTCGTGCCCTGCTAGTGAACAAGCCTAGAAGGGGTCGTTGGTGTTTTTGTGTAGCCTTTTTTCGAACACATGCCGCGTGTGCAGTAAGATCCCCTTCCGGAGTGTTCACATCAGTGCGCATGATACACTGTATGGCCTCTTAATTTTGATGCAGTCGGTCACGCATTCAAATGAGGCGCCAACGAATTAAAAGCTGCTGTGAAGGACATCATACCTTGTCAGACCAGGACCTCAAGTCAATGGGGCCGGGGCTAGGAGGCCAACGTATTGGTCAGGTGGAGTCACTCCTAGAACTTGGATTGATGGGACTGGATGTTACTGAGTCTACTACTCAAGTTGGTGGTTGAACCTGAATATCCAACCTTCATCCTTCCAAGATCATCCCATGCCGTCAAAGTCTCAAACCCCATGTTTTTTAAATGGTTTTTCTATAATAACTACAATTTGATCATTTCACTGACCTGAAATAAGGTCAGTTTATATCCGGATAGTTAGCCCTTCCTGACCATCAATCCAGTGACGGAGAACAGTGAGGTCCTGATGAAACTTTCCCAGATACCCTCTGGTTATGTCAAAATAGCTATTGAAAATGGCCATTTATAGTGAGTTTTCCCATTAAAAATGGTGATTTTCCATAGTTTCTGTATGTTTACCAGAGGATAACCAGCAAGACCAGTGGGTACCTAAGAATCTGACCAAGCAAAAATGCCAACCGGAACCAGCAAGAGACTGGTGACTAGTGTAGTACCTAACTATCGTCAGTAACAACCAACTTACTTCAACCCAGCAAAATCCGAAGAACCATCACAAGGCTACTAGTTTGTTATATCAGGTAAGCCAACAGTTAACCTTAAATTATCTGCGTAAACGCATACCTAAAACCCCATTAAAACCCAATCAAAACCATTAAATCACCATTAAATCCTATTGAATTTGAATCATCATCAATTCCCATCAAAAATCCGTAACATCCCATTAAATCTCATGCTTAAAAAAAATGCAAATCCCATTGAATCATCCTAAAATCCCATCAAAATCCCATAGAAATCCTCATTAAATCACCATTAAATCCACCACCCCATCACCCTTTCGCTTCGCCACGTCCTCGTTGAGTCGGCGGTTGTCGGCCCACTTCCCATCGTCGCTGGCAGCCATGCTCGCGTCCGTGCCGAAGGTCGTACCGATGGCGCCCACCTGTCGAATCTGGAAACTTTCCCCCAGATTTGAGGTGGAAAACCATGGGTAAAACCATGGGAAAACTGGGTTTAAGCATGGTTTAAGGCTTGTTTTTTGAATTTCGGGTTTGAAACATGTGGGAAAACATTGGAAAGTCCTAATAGGGAACCCCCAATCTATGAATATTAGACATTATTGGACAATATCTACAAATAGCAAATGTTCTTGATAGTGTATCTATGTTGATTTTTATTGTATGGAGTAAACATCCAAATTGTTGGGATACTCCCCAAGAATCGAAAACAAACACATCCAGTAGCCAAAAAAATGGCTGGAAGATGATGATGTTGCTGTTGGAAATGGCACCTTTGGGGTTACATGCTTGTTTTAGGGTTGTAAATCCTCCAAACTTTGGGAGAGAAAAGTGTGTGCTTCGGCCAATGATCCCTGCGCGGAGTTCTGGAAGTTTGGTTATTTCTCTTCCCCCCGGATCCAAGAAAAGGTCATCTTCAAGCCGCAATTCCCCATCCATACCATAAAAACCACCTGACAACTGGGTTCAACCCATCTCCCACTGGGAGACCCCACCTTGATGTTGCTGTATTTCACGCGCGCATCCGGGAACTTGGCTCTCAGAAACGAGGGCCTCCCGGTGTCTTGGTTGCAGGGCCCGCGGTTCACCCCAGGCACTGTGGGGCTCCTGCTGGTGGGATAGTCCGCATCCAGCCACAGCATGTTGGCCTCCGCATCGTCCCAGAGGGACATCACCAGCACCATGCCACGGTCCAAAGCTTCTCCCATGGTTTTCAGGCCACCCTTCAGGTTGAAGTCATCCACATCCCCGAAGGCTTCCTTCATATCGGAGCCTGGAGTCATATACCCTGGAAAAGGCGCATGGTCTGCGTCGCAGTTATTTTGCGGGGAGGCCATGGGCAATTTTCAGCCTCTACCCATGTTTTACGGATTGCCTTCGATCCAAGGTGATCTCCCATTTGGGTTTGTCTGAAAATAGTGTACCCCTACACCCAATGGTTTTGCTGATCATTATCCCTACTAAATTGCTATTTTTTTGGTGGTATACCCCATTTTCAGACATACCCATTTAGCCTATAGGGCCTATGACTCGCAAAGAAAAACACGTCCAAGTTCGTCACCAGGACACAAACTTTGTCGGTAATCGAATCACCTCGGACCCCTGCAATGGACACGTTGGAGTTGGGAATCACCTTGCCATCTTGGACGTAGAAGCGACGGATGTCGATGAGGTCTCCGTCATCCCGGTTGCCTGTAAGGTCTGAGGTGGTCATCAGCTTCTATGAACCATGATCTATCTGGGTGGCCTGCAATGGCCTGCAACCAACCAAGAATCATCACAGATTGACAATGTTGGTGGAGATTGTCACTGATTTCCATCTGGCCAAAAAAGATCTGTGATGAATTGTGATTCTGAGTAGCACTAAATGATAGCAAATGAATCCTCCATTTTGGAAACCTGCAGACATGTTGTTCCCAGACGAAGTTGACTCAAAGCACTCCGAAGTTCTACAGTTCACCAGGATGCACCCAGTCAGATGGGTCCAACTTTCACCCTCTTTTGCTAATGATACATGCAAGATGTGTATATTTCATCTCATGGGGATGCCACCCCTCCAAAGGGGACACCCCCAATAGTGACCGTTAAGGGTGGCTCACTCGTTGGGGGTTGAATTTCCATGATGTAGACATCACCCTGCTTCTACATCTCCCAGATGATAACACCCAGTCCATCGGCCTTCAGTGATGAACTGAGTGACCACCGTCACCTTCTTGCGGCTGTCAACCTTGAAGTCCCTGGCCCCACGGCCGTAGAACTTCTGGTCGCCCAAACGCCAGGAATTGAAGTCGCAGCCGTCCTTGTCGCAGACTCCCTGGTAACCTTGGCATCAAGGACTGCATAGCCAAGTGCCTGTGAGATTCAGCATGAGAAAACAGGTAATTCTGTGGAATGTTATTTTGAAACTGGATGTTGGAAAGAGTTCTGAGCATGTCTCATGTTTGACTACCCAAGTAGGGTCACCACATGTCGCCACAGCTGTATGATAGTGGAAACAGACTGCAACAACAGCCACATCCACACATCCACTGCCGAACTTTCAACGATTGAACAAGAGCCCAATGTTTCCAACATGTTCCAACACTGGAATCAACCTGGAACATTCCAACTTTCGCCACCCATACATGCTTCCAGCGACGTTCGTCCTTGCTGTTGTCGCCACAGTCAATGCCTTCACAAATGTAGGTGCCAGTGATAGAGCATGGGTGTGGCCTAGGCTCTGTGACAAGCGAGTCTTTTTCAAAGAATCAAACTTGGCTTTTTCAAGTAGCTCTTTTACTTTCTAAAGTATTCTAAAGTGAAGAGAATAAATCGATATAGATGGTTTCTTCACCTACTTCAAGTTTGGGAAGTCTTGTCAACCAAGGTTCTTGGGGGGGCGGTATTTGCAGTCATTAAACCCAAGTTGGTGCACCCTTTCAACCTCATCAAATATGGGCTCTCAGGTTGCACATGTGTTGGCCCCGATTGGCTTCAAGGAACATACGATTTCCTGGAAAACCCACCTTGTTTGGTGGGAACAAATGATGTACAGTATCCGGATTTTAGGCAAGCCAACTTTTTGGCTGCCCAGTACCGAAGGTGATTCTCTACTCAATGAAGTCTTCCAAGAACTCCCCCGTAATGTGATGGTTATTGGATGTTATTGGTTTGGCCATGGGCTTCCCATTTCTTTCCCGGACTGTTTCAACCCAAAAAGGGCTCTCAGAGATGGCCGCCTCAACTTCCCGCTGGGCGGCGTGTAGGCCGTGGCTCGCGAGTTCGCTTCCCAGATATCCATCTCTGCACAGCAGGCACCGTGCTTGCCGATGGGAGGGTCGTGGCTCGCATTCCAGCCGATGACCTCAAAAAAAACACCATCCAGTTATTTGGTAGCAAGCCAAGTTTTTTTGGCGACACCATCCGTTGAGCGTGTTTAGACTGAGAGAATTATATCACTGATTATCTTATATATATAATTTCAATGTGATGTGTTTTGTTGGTGTTTTCTTCCTTTTCACCAGCAGCAAGATATGATGTGGTGCAGAAGATCGGCCTCCATCTTGGCCAATGTTGGGAAGATATCAAACAGGAACACCATACATGAATGGTCTGGGATAGCACGTTCAAAGGGCCGGTTCCTGTGAAGTTTGAAGACTTTCAAGATCCATCATCCACGTGTGCCGCTCTGAACTGGTTCATCCCAAATACCATCAGTTTCCCCCAAGTCAGCCAGCAACTGCTGAATCTCTCATCATAAGTCACCCAGCTCTAAGATGTTCTACAGCAGAAAAACGCATCATCCACATCAAGAAAAAGAAAAGAACGCGAAACGACCAAGTTTGCTCTAAAATCAATATATTCCAAAACAAAAATTGGGGATTTACAATAGATTTACCCACCAAAAAATCAGGGATTTATCATGTGTACCCAACATACAGCACCTCGAAACCTAAGATATACCTAAGATCAACCAAGATCAACCAAGTGACATTGGCCTTACCCTCCATAAACTTCAGGTCATGCGGGCACTGCGCATCGCAGTAGCCGGTGCCATATTTGGCTCCGGCCCGGTTGGCGCCGCCCGTCTTCTCGGCCGCTGCCTGGCCGCCGTCCGCGTCCATCTCCACGAAGTAGACAGCACCGTTGAGGCCGCAGGGCATGTAGAACATGTCCACGGTCAGGGTGAACTCTCCTGGGACATTTCAAAACAAAAGTTGATGGAATGTGCTGGAACCGGTGAACCTGTAGTTTTAGGTAGGCGGCTGACTCGCCGCCCCCACGAGGGTTGTTATTTCTGCCTACGGATCGAAAACCGTGCTCATAAAACGCACATTTTTGCTAATGGGACGTGGGGATTATGTTGGGGTGGGGTGGGGGGGGTGGGGTGGGGTGGGGATGTTAACGTTCTGTCTAGTGCGTACAGTACATATTTCTACGCTCCCGAGATCTCTGGAATGCTTGCCACGTTACATGTTGCTACGGTGCTGAGAGCTCTGGAATGCTTGCAGAGATCTCCTGTGGTATCCTTGCTACGTTACATGTTGCTACGCTGCCGAGAGCTCTGGAATGCTTGCCACGTTATATGTTGCTACGCTGCCGAGAGCTCTGGAATGCTTGCCACGTTACATTGTTGAACGCTCCCGAGATCTCTGGAATGCTTGCCACGTTACATGTTCCTACGCTGCAGAGATCTCCTATGGTATCCTTGCCACGTTACATGCTACCTGCAGAAATATCTCCTATGGTATCCTTGCCACCGTTGCATGTTGCTACGCTGCCTCTGGAATGCTTGCCACGTTACATGTTGCTACGCTGCAGAGATCTCCTATGGTATCCTTGCCACGTTACATGTTGCTACGCTGCAGAGATCTCCTATGGTATCCTTGCCACGTTACATGTGGCTACGCTGCAGAGATCTCCTATGGTATCCTTGCCACGTTACATGTTGCTACGCTCCCGAGCTCTCTGGAATGCTTGCCACGTTACATGTTGCTGCACTGCCGAGATCTCCTATGGTATCCAGCATGAAACGCACATTGTCTTAACCATTCGACATGTTGTCGTTGTCTCGCATTGACATCACAATATTGATCTTTCGATGTACAAACACATGGATATAGATAGATAGATAGATAGATAGATAGATAGATAGATAGATAGATAGATAGATAGATAGATCGATCGATCGATCGATCGATCGATCGATAGATCGATAGATCGATAGATCGATCGATCGATCGATCGATCGATAGATATATATATATATACATACAAATATTTATATATGTGTATATGTATATCTACTGCATACAATCAAAAAAATAAACTTTTTTTTCGGACCTGAAAAAAACCCTTAGTTTACATGGAAAAAAACAGTACATTTGAAAAGAGGAACAAAAAGCCTTGGAAAACGCAGTGAATTTGAAGCCCTGGTTCAGGTGAAACAGACAGTGAATCACTCCGAAACCACAGCGAGAAGCAAATTTCAAAAAAACAAAGAGAAATGACTCGTTGACCCTTCTGGGGGCGGCGAGACAGCCGGCACCCTAGTTTTACATATCAACTACTATCCTTGAGATAGATAGATAGATAGATAGATAGATAGATTGATTGATTGATTGATTGATAGATTAGATAGATAGGTAGATAGATAGATAGATTGATTGATTGATTGATAGGTTAGATAGATAGATAGATAGATTGATAGATTGATAGATTGATAGATTGATAGATTGATAGATTGATAGATTGATAGATTGATAGATTGATAGATTAGATAGAGTAGATAGATTAGATAGATTAGATAGATTAGATAGATTAGATAGATTAGATAGATTAGATAGATTAGATAGATTAGATAGATTAGATAGATTAGATAGATTAGATAGATTAGATAGATTATATAGATAGATTAGATAGATTAGATAGAGTAGATAGAGTAGATAGATTAGATAGATTAGATAGATTAGATAGATTAGATAGATAGATAGATAGATAGATAGATAGATAGATAGATAGATAGATAGATAGATTAGATAGATAGATAGATTAGATAGATAGATTAGATAGATAGATTAGATAGATAGATTAGATAGATAGATTAGATAGATAGGATAGATAGATAGATAGATAGATAGACAGATAGAAAGATAGACAGATTGACAGATTGATAGATTGATAGATTGATAGATTGATAGATTGATAGATTGATAGATTGACAGATTGATAGATTGATAGATTGATAGATTAGATAGATTAGATAGATTAGATAGATTAGATAGATTAGATAGATAGATGTTATTTATTCATTTATATATGTATTTATTCATTTATGTATTTATGTATTTATGTAGTTATTCATTTATCTTTATGTTTATTTAATTAGTTATTTATGTATTTATGTATTTATGTATTTATGTATTTATGTATGTATTTATTTATTGATTTATCAATGATTTATCTATTGATTTTACATATACTATATATATATATGTATGTGTATGTATAAATATATATATAGGGGATTTATCTCTGCTGAAGTTGCTATAGTCTTGATATGTCTTGATTAGTGGAACCTGGCTTAATTCCTCTTTTCGATCTGAGACGGGATTTCTGACTATTTCCCTGAGATGGTGCCCGTAAATCAGCAGTGGCTGCGTTCAGCACCCCTGATGATATTGGGGGGTATACTACAGTGCGCTTTAAAATTGGGATGATTATGATTGTGCTACTCATGTTGTGGAGTGTTATCTCCTGATACGGGCACACTTTTGGAGACTTTTGGGTGGTTGGAAACTGGATTCTTTTTGAGATTTGAGATGGGATTTCTTTGGGGAAAAAAGGATAAGGGGCCATTGGAAGATGAGTTTCAGGTCCGAATGATTTCCGGTGAATGGATGTAGCCAGACTGAAACCAAACTTAAAATTACTATCTGGTTATGACTAACATAGCCATGGAAAATCACCATTTTTAAGAGGTAAACCATCTATAAATGGGGCATTTCCCATGGCTATGTTAAATAACCAGAGGGTACATAAAATTTAACTACTGGTTTCTATTTCTGTTCTTCTTCATGGCCCCAAAGCACCCAAAATTCACAACGTCACATCTAGCGGAAACAAGTCTCGGTTCTTCAGCTTGAAGATCCTGTACCTGTTCAGCTTGGCCAGATGCTGTGACAGGGGGTGAAATACCAATCTGAGTTTTGTAACCCCCAGTCATCACTGGCATATCTCGTGCGATCTCCTGAAAATCCAAGTTATCTTTGCTTTTATCCTTCCACAGCATGCATATCGACGACACGTGACTCCGCAGTTACACAGCTGGCAAGGGATGGCTTCACAAATAGTCAGCTTGCACCTGTCAGGTGTGTCCATCATGTAGACTCGGGAACCAAAGTTTGAACCGTACCTGGGCCGGAAGCCATGTGGAGATTTTCCAATTTCCTGGGCAAATCTATGAACCAACTGCTGCACCCATGTGGCCTGTCAGAACTCTGATATTCAACGGTCAAAAAAAGCCCTGATCAGAAAACCAAAACTGGTCTCTCTTGATCTGTCTTTGGGACCTTTGCTTTCCCATTTCTGGGATATTCGGGATATCTACGGATATCTATGGATATCTCTATGGATATCTCCTATAAAATCCTGGTAGATTTTGGGAGATTTCATGTTCGCCAGCATCCCATAGCCATAGCCGCATCACTTGCTTTCCAGCTACTTCGTGGTTGTCACGAAGTCAATCTTGATGCCATCCTCCGTCTCCTTGATACCGTAGGTGGATCCGTACTGCTCCTGGAAAGGGATGACATGGTGGGACCAAAGGACCAGCGGACCATGAATTTCCAATGGGGCTAGTGATAGTGGTGCGTTTTACGTAGGGTTGCTGGATGGGTTGCTGGGGGTTGCTGGGATGATTATTACTGGTGATTATGGATCATTCCCGAAAATCCCCTACTAAGCACAAGTAAGTAGTGGTAGTGGGATTCGGACCAACCCAGTACTGAACTCGGAATCCGATCTGGGATCCGACGCGCTGGTTCCGTGACCATTTCGCAGGGCCCTAAGAAGCATGCAACACCTTTGAAAACCTACATACAAGAGCACATTTGACACAATCAACCTGAACTATCCTGAACTCAGGTGATGTTTTCATATGTTTTCATGGTGTTCCGAAAAAGCCAACATCTAATATGCAGTGACATCGCAACATGAGGTCCTTATACTTTTACCATGTTTTACCCAGAAATATGGACCCCTCCAGGCCCTGAAAATGCGGCTTTCCGTGCCTGGGAGGCCCCCTCCAGGTGGCAGTTCCGAGCACAGCTCACTGGATCGGGGCACAGCTCTTGGTTGAAATCGCCGTCCTTGTAACCTGCCACCGAAGCGGGGTGACCGCATGTGACCGCCCTGTTGGGACCAGATATGGTGGTGCAAATAAAAAGTTTGAGCTTGGAAACCATAGAATTCGAGTGTTTGAAGAAGGAATTATAAGGAATTCATCAAATGGAATCAGTGAACATCATTTCGGTCGGGGCTAACGCCAATTTTTCATAATTTTTCCCTGTGCAGGTGAGGACTGGCCAATAGAAAACCACAAAAGTCCATCAAGTCCGCATCATGTCCAACCCAATTTACTCCAGGGAATCCTCAATGTACAATCCAAACCAACCAAAATCCTCAGGTTTTTGTTGGGGGTCAAGTCCTCCATAAGTTTCATGGTGCTGAGCGAATCGAATCCCTTTTGGAAAAATCGCTTTCGCCATGTTGAAGTGGTCCAAGTGGCAGTTGGTGTATTGTCCATTGTGAAGCCATCGCCAGTTCGCATCCAGAGCCACGGATTTCATCTGTTTGATGCATCCGCTTGAGCTGCAGGTCCAAAGAGGCATCTGGGGATGGTATTCTTCCTCATGGACGCCTGCCGGTCGCGGAGCTTGGAGCGGAGCTTGGAGTTTCCCTTAGGCAGTTGGTGCTTGAGCCATCTGAATAATATCAAGTGTCAACTATTATAGAATAATTGGGATCATCATATTGGCGTGGTTGGGTTGAAAATCAAATTAGTTGAAACCAGGAACCAGCTTCTGTGAATGTTCCATTCCACTTCTGGGAATTATGGTAAATGGATGGTAAATGGTAAAGCTTACAGGAAACCATGATCTTTTCACCTGCCAAACATGGATGGAAAAACTCTAGATTTCCTCTGAAACCGGTTCTATCAAGTAGAATGTTCTTTTCTTATCCCTTAACTTAACTGAAGTTCTGTTCCAAAAGGGCCCGACGGCTGTTTATGGACCATCCCACAGATCTACGCTGCAGGTCACCTGGCTGTTGCGCCACGACGCATCCCACGAGAACAGCAATGGACAGCATGGCAGTCTGGTTCCGCTGGTCCTACAAGGTCTCTTCACTCAACTTGAGCCCTGAAAATGGCTGAGGGATGACCAATGATTCACGGAGTTTGGGAAATCATGATGTTTGGCAAACCCATGTAGAAAAAAAATGAAAAAACACGTGTCACGTGAAACAAAAATGAAAGTTGCCTTAAACTTCAACCCTTTCTTGTGCTCCGCTTTCGTGTGGACAATGATGGATTTGGGTGTCTTTAATTCTTGGAAACCACACAAGTAAAAAAAGTAGTAGGTACAACCCAGCAACTGCAAGGGCGCGCACCAGTCTCATAAATGGATGGCTTCGCAAAATGCAGAGTTTCCAAATACTGCAGTCACCTGTGTCCATCTGGATGTGTCTGAAAAGATGCTATGAAACCAAATAAACGGAGTATGGATACCTCCAGCGGAATTGGAGGTACCCAATTCCAAACCCATCGAAAAAAGAGCTACGTGGCCACCGCTTCGTCACCCCTTCCCCCCTGGGGTCCCCTGGGGTCCCTCGCCTTCACCACCATAGAGAGGATGCATGTGGCCAGTGTGGAGTCACTCATAGATCCCTGGAATCACATGGCAAGATTTTCTAATCCCAAAATATCCCATTGAATGCCCCAATGTCTGGCAATGTTAATCAGGAAAAATGATCATCAAGCCATAAAATTTATGGAGGTAAGCCTATTTTTAACCCAAGGGCAAAGTGTTGTAGACAGCCTGAAACCGCGAGGACAAAGAGGATGGGATGGTGATAACATCATCAGCTTCGATTTTCTCACATACTCCTGATCCCAGCTCTTCATTTGAGAATGAAGTGCGTGTCTAATGTGTAAGATCACATTAATTATATCATCATCACATTCTTTGATCTCATTTGGAGCTCGCATCACCATGATCTCCCCAAGGTTTCAAACGATTTTCCATGTGAAAAACGGGTAGCCAAACTCGCCTCATGTTCTAGAGCCGAGGAGGCCGCCGCACAGCGCAGCTCCAGAAACTTTCGACACTCCTGGCGGAGGGGGAAGCCGATGCGTGAGATACTTAAGGACTTAAGGTGAGACCTCCGACATGTCCAAGAGAGCTAAGTTGACATGACGTAGTTAACTCGAGTTTGCACCCCTTTTACGATAGCTAACTTGACGCACACATCTTGCGTAACATTTGAGGATATGGGGTATGCAATGAACTTTAGTTAATGGGTATATAAACCAACAAACATAGCTGGGCCGGCCGCCTCACCTTGTACCCAGAATCTTATTGTAAATGGGATAATCATAAAACCAACCAGAATGGGGTATTCATGGAATTTATCTCACCAACGATATGATATGACCTTGGCTTGTGTGAAAATATGTAATATC